AGCTTTCTCGCACTGACGGCTATTATAGCCTGGTGCAGTAGTCTAGCGCTCATACGAAGCGCCGATGCTCCAATCGAGAGTATTGCTACGACTCGCGAGGCGGATTCACTTTCTGCTGCGTCTGGAAGAAGATGTATGTATGTATGTATGTATGTATGTATGTATGTATGTATGTTTCCCCCTACACCTCGCCTGACGCGTCGAGTGCGAGTGCTAAAAAAAATGTATGTACCAGCTCTGTGTTGCGACGGCTACCCTGCCTTTGTGACCGATGACGGCACCCCGCAGGACTGAGAAGAGATTTCCCAGAATGCATATGTATTGTTTCTCAAACAGCAGTCGAGACCTGAGTGAAAGCATGTGGCCCTTCGGGGCGATTTAACTCTTTTCTGGAAACCAGGGCAACGGCCACTGCTCAAAGGGCGGACACGCCGGGTGGCCGGAATGCACGATCTCTTACTTACTTTCTCTCAGCTGTCGCCTATGCCAGAATCTATGCTACTACTATCTTCTACTCTCTCTCTCTCTATCGAGTGCCCAGCTTCCTTCAGTTTGCAAGTCGAACAGAGGGGATGTCCCAAACGGATATGCATCCAACGACATGCCGGTCTCCGACTGCCCCTAGCAACGCAAGACCTCTTCTTGCGGCGGAGGAAGAAGTAAGTATGTACGTATGCATACATTATGTATGTATGTTTGGATGGTTGCGCGCTGTGCGTGGCATGACGGCCACGACGACCATACGAAAATGCACGACAACCAGGACCACCTGGACCGCACCGACACGAAAACTACGACAAGGACGACCACCACAACCAGGAGACCACCAGGAGACCACTGTTTGACCCCCAGGAGACCACCAAGAAGTCATCAGGAGACCAGACACCAGGAGACCACCAGGCGACGTTGTCCGCGCTCCGTGCGGTTTTGGCAACCAATTTTCCTTACAGCAAAAGATAGTTACCCGACATGAAAGCCTACACGTTTGTAGGTGCGTGCATGCGCATGTGTCGTGTATGCATCTCCGTCTGTATGCATGCATGCATGCATGCAGTTATGCAAATTACCATTGCTTGTTTTCTCTCTTTCCCTCTCTCTCTGTATGCATGGCATAGTTGTTATTTCTTTCTGCTTTTGCCGAAGAAAATGTCAAAGTTGGCCAGGAGAACTTCATCACCTTCTTCGATAGCTGCGAAAAGGAGGCTTTCTCGCAGAGCTGGTGGCAGCAGAGCGTGGTGTGCGTCAGGGAAGGGAGGGAGTTTAGTTGTGCATCTGGAAGTGTTCAAAAGTCTCGGCTGTGGCATGTGAGCCATGTCCCGGTTTGATCTCGATGCGTGATGGGCAAGAAGTTCGTGGGCATCAATGTTTAGGGAAATAAAACGATGTGGAGCTCCATCTAAGACCGGTTGAATCGCAAACGCCAAAACTCAAGCCCTCGTGATTTCGGGTTGACAGGCATCGCCTCGGTTTCAGGTTTCGAGTCTTCCGGTATCAGGCTGTAATAAAGGGGTATAGAGATGACGTCCAAATACTACTTTTAGTGACATTTCTTCCGGACAGGAAAGCGCTTCACCACCACCCAAGGAGGACCTAGGCAAGGTGTTTTTCCTTGTCGGACATTGAACGGAGGTCTCTGGAGTTTTCGGTGCACTGGCTTCCGATGGGTGCGATTCATCCCTCTTAGATAGAAAGAAAGGAAGAAGCCTTCTGGGCATCCCCGGGTGCCGGTGATTCTACAGGCACCTCTCGTAGTCTTTGTCCTCAGACCAAAATGGTGATCAGAGCGGCAGTGCTAGTGGTAGTGTTGGTGGTGGTTCTTGGTAGCAGTATAGCCATCGTCGGAGCAGCAGCAGGATGAGGAGCAATCGGCGTCGTCGGCGTGGACGAAGTAGTGGTTCTGTGTGGGGAAGCGGAGCGGGAGTAGAAGTGGGAGGAGTTACAGTTATGTCGTCGTCGTCGCACCATCACCATCCCCATCGCCATCACCATTTCCATCGCCACCGCCACCGCCACTGCCGCCGCCGCCGCCACCGCCACCGCCGCCACCACCACCACCACTACCACCACCAGCAGCAGCAGCAGCAACAACAACAACAACAGCAACAGCAACAGCAACAACGGCAACAGCAGCAACAACATCAACAACAACAGCAACAACAGCAACAGCAACAGCAACAGCAACAGCAACAGCAACAGCAACAGCAACAGCAACAGCAACAGCAACAGCTACAGCTACAGCAACAGCAACAGCAACAGCAACAGCAACAGCAACAGCAACAGCAACAGCAACAGCAACAACAACAACAACAAAGCAAGCAACGACACTAACACCACGCAAAAGGGACAGAACTGACGATGGTCTTTTTTTGCCGTAAGGAGTAGTATTATGTCAGTCAGAAAGGAGAGAGGTGTGGTGGATGCATCCAATCTCGAGGCCGGTACTTCGATTTCCTGGATGACGAAAAGGAGGGCTTCTTGACCCAGGATGGACACATGCTGCCTGCTCGGGCTTTGGACTGGCGTGAACTTGAGATGGTTTCGGTAGGCCTGGTAGGCTCCTGATGCTGATGGTATTCCATGGTGCTGATTGTGATGATGCTGCTGCATCCGCGTGGTATCATGATGCTGGTGACGGCGACTTCGGCAAATAGCAGGGCACGTTGAGATGCTTTGCCCGCCAGGAGCATTTGTTGACTGTCGTCAGGACGCTGAAAAAGGCCTCTTCTTATCACATGTTCGGCAGCCTAGGTTTTTGTTGGGTTACTTTGCCGGAATCAAGTATCAAAGATTGCTGCTCTTTGGGCAGTAGGGCAGGGCTGAAGCAAGGATTAGGGTACAGAGCTGCGCTCCTGAGCTTGTCAGCGCTTGTGCATGCCCACGCGGACTGGAATTGCCTCTGCTTGCAGATGCTGCCGAAGCTCCAAAATTCAAGTCCTCCACCCAAGCCCGACAGGTTACCAAGGAGACCACGATCACGGACACCGCCGAAGTCTCTGAGGAGACTCAGACTTTAAGTAAGCTCGAGGCACGAGGGTTGCTTGCCTTTGCTGTTTCGCTTAGCTGCCTCCTTAGAATGGGGTGAGTGCAAGCAAGCCTCCTGCAGGCCAAGTGCCGAAAGAAACGGGGCTTCAAATCAGCACTGCTGTATTCTGGGTCCAACGAAGTGAGGTTGTGGTGGGGCGACTAATGGCAATACAATTCCTCAAAATCAACGACTACCTGCGCACCCACGGTAAATCCTAATAGCCCACAATTGAACGCTCCCGGAGGCCCAGGCATTCGCTGCATCCGCACCCTGATTTAAAGCCCCTGTGAGCCTGTGAGCTCTTTTTTTACCGAACTAAAACCCGAGCTCTCGAGTGGATCGGATCGCAGTGGCCCTGTTTTTTCGCAGGTTGGCGACCTCCTAGAGCTGCTCTCCGAGCCATCTGAGCATGGCCCGGGGCTCTGTTTCGCGCCCTGCGGTGGATTTTCCAGATCCTCAGGCATTTGTAGGCTGCTCTTGGAAGATAGACATCGGATCATGCCGGTGGCAGAGGCTGCCTTAAGGTCAGCTGTTTCGAACCTTCATTGACTTCCTGGAAACTCTCTGCAGTTTTAATTCTGAGGGTTTTGCATGAGATCGGCATTGTTCCAGGCGTCGTAAAGACAAGCCCGCTTCTGCAGGCGACCTTCTCCGGGCAAGGTGCCGTGCTATGAAAGACGGAACCAGGGGCTGGGTGCCGTGGCACGCAACCGGTTTGAGGAGGGACATGGGATTTGGGGCCGGGTTGTGATCATTTTCATTCTCTTTTCTGCTTCAAGCATGTGGGGGTAGCTGTAGGATCGATTCTGCAAATTCAGCTAGTGGACGCGTTCCTGAGAATCTTGGGCGTTTAGGTATCGGATTCGTGGCTTCAGGATGGGGTGCGTAGTGCAGCTCCGCAGATGTTTCCGAGCCAAGTTCCCGCCAACTTAAGCCCCAAAGACTTAGCGATCTGGAGCCCACAACCCCCTGCGCCCACAGCGAGTCTGAAACAACGGCCTTCTGCTTCGAAAGTTACAAAGAGACATGTCAAGAGGTTAAAACACGGACACCCGATAAAAGCTCTGGAAATCGTCTGAAGATGTCTTTGACAAGTATCTGACTCTGCATCGTCCAGAGTCCAGAGTTGCGGCGTTCCTCAAACCCAAATCGCCAAGCCCGCAATATTCCTACAATGGAACACCAGATCCAGGTTTCGGTCAAATCCAACAATGCCATGGGACCGGCGGAGTCCTCAGCATCGTTGAATCTTGGATTTCAGGTCTGTAGCACTGTAGAGGTTTTGGGTTTAGCGTCTGTGGATCCTGCTGTTCTATTGTTTGCGAGTCTGCTTTTCTCTGATTCCTTGTCTCATAAATTACTGGGAGTAAGCAAGAGCGGACATGCCTGGGGTGTAGGGGTAAGACATGAATGTCTAGGTAGTATCAACTCTTGGCGAACTAACACCGGGGCTGACACCTTCCCTTAACTAGCCTGGATCCCCAAATCTCCACCACTTAATGAAGAGGACAGTAGGTGACAGTACCTTCAGGCTTAGCTCGTTCGAATTGCATTGCGGGTGTGATGGTGTCATTTAAGTAGGTCTAGCAAGCTGCCGGGGCTGCCAAGCATTTAGTGAAAGGCCTCCTTCCAAGAAGAGGTCTTCTATCCTGATGTAGCCCTTTGGTCTTGAGGCCTTGAGGGTTAACGGAGCCTCCTAGATGGCCCTAGATGCTAAATCATAAACCCGCGACCACAGAGATGACCTTGAAAGCTTAACCACAAGATGCCCCCGCCTGAATTGTCCGAGTAGCGAGAGGTGGAGGCCATGAATAGACCATAAGCCCGAAAGTATCCTCCAAGCCAGTTGCATGCAGGATCACCCAAGTGCTTCCCATATGTGTCTCGTGTGGAACTGCTTAGCGGTCCGATCTTGTAATGCGGGAGGCAAAAAGCCCTAAACCCTCGAAGAGCTTGCAGGTCTTCCTCCAAGATGGCGGCCGCATCTGGAGGGTGCAGAAGGTGGCGGGGAGGGTTTAGTTAGTTTCGGGCCGAGGCCGTAGGGAAACTGGGGATAAGTCTTCTTAATCTGTGTAAAGAACCACGTGCAAGCAGCGACAGCTGTGTCAAGGCGGGCTTCGCGGGCACGCTCTATGCCACGCTTTGTGCCTGTTTTGTCTAGCTTGCTTAGTCCTTGAGTGATTGTATGCTTCTGCGGTTTCAGATGTGGGGTCAAACCATGAACCCGGTACCCCTGAACCTTTCCTCTGCTCGGCTCGGCGAAACAGAGGGTGTGCGAAGCCGTGAAGTCCCTGGAGGGTGCTGATCCAAGAAGTTCAATGATGGAGGGACCTGGAAACTGATGATGGTGATGATGGTGATGACATCACTGCGAGTCTTACAGTGACGACGTTTTATATTTGCTACCATTACATCAACCACTATCACTACGACGACGACAACTACTGGTACGACTACGAGTACTTGAACGAGAACGACGACGACTACTACCGCTACTGCTACTGCTGCTGCTGCTGCTGCTGCTACCGCTATTACCATTATTATTACTACTGCGACTACCACTACGACGACGACGACGAGGACGACGACTACTACTACTGCTACTGCTACTGCTACTGCTATTGCTATTGCTACTGCTACTGCACGACGGCGACGACGACGACTGCGAGTGCGACTGCCACTGCGGCTACCTGCTGCTACTGCCACTGCTCCCGCTGACGTTACTGCCACTGCTGTTGCTGTTGTTACTGCTGCTGCGGCTGCTGCTGAACCTGGCACCAGGAGACTCTGCTGACGAAGGGCTTCGACATCGGCACAACTGTTAGGGGACCCAGGCCCTAAGAAATGGGGCGGAGACTCAGTGGGTCAAGCCTTTTGGGCTTCAGGGCTCTGGCTTAAGACTAATGAAACGCAGTTTAGGACCGAGTGATACCAAGTCCTTTGTTTCATACACGTGCAATCGTCATGTGTGCTGGCCTTCACCAAGTCCGCTGCTTCAAAAAATAGGACCGAGGACAAAGAACGGGCTTGGTTGCATGACTCTGAAGAGAGAATTCCGCAGAAGATGGGCGTCTTGAGGATCGCATGGGGTATTGCACAGCAAAGCTGCCATTGAGCCGAGGGCTTCGTGTGGGGGTCTCGGGCTTCCGGGGCCTTGGGGCTCGGCCTCCCCCTCAGCCCCCTCCCCTACAGCAGCAAGCTCAACACCCGAACCTCGGAACAGCAAGTCGTGGGGGTGTGTGGATTTATTGAACCTGCTGAAAAGGAAGACAGCCTCAACACATCTAAGGCTTGAAGACTCAGCTTCACTGTGACAACAAAAACCCACGAGGTGGAACGCAAGTAACCCCAAGCCTGTGGATAATCTTAATTTGATGAAAAATCCCAAAGGCTACATACATATGCAAGTAGAAAGCCATCGCCGGAAGCGATACAAGCATCAACAGCAACCCATACTCCAAAAAAGAAATTCAACCTCATGGAGAAGCCGTAATTCCGCGGTCATCCTGACCCATGAACAAAGTACCGCAGACAGGACGGCTGGACCCTAAACCCCAAATGCCACAGAGAAAAAGATCTTGTGACCCTCGAGCCTCCAGACTTAGCCGAGGCCGACGAGGACCGAAAACTGAGGCCCAACGAACTCGTCGGCCTCCGCGAGTGGATGCAAAAGGATGAGAAGCAGGGAGCCACGGATCGCGGGCTTAGGGTGTTAAGGTATGGCCGAATGTGGTGATGACCATTAGGGAGCAAGGCTCTGTAGCTGAAGTCCGAAGCCAGCAACCTTGAGCCCCGAACGGGGGTTGTTCTGCGTTCGGATTCCGCACGTACCTGGTTGAATAGAGAATAGGACAACATGTCCATGCCCTCGCCAGAAATAGCCGGCGACGTCCCGCCACATTCAGCCTGCAGCCCTAAGCCTTTCCAACATGTTGTAGAGCTGAGCAAAGCAAGAGGCGGACCTTGCAGGAAAAGCTACAACTACATCGCTGGGGTTGGGCGTAGCTGATGCGCCCATAAATGGCATGCTCACGAGAAGAGGCTGTTAGATGTGCAGTAGGGCCAGGACTAGGGCGAAGACAAGTGCTAGTAATAGTAGTAGTAGTAGTAGTAGCAGCAGCAGTAGTAGTGCTACTACTACTGCTGCTGCTG